AGTGTTTAACAAAAATAGCTTAATCAATGAGAGTTATCAGATGTTTTAAGCTTGAAGGTACATTAGTTCCCGCCACATGAATGATGAGCGCTAGTTCGTGTTATATAGTTCTAAGAATCTCATATTATCATTGGTGGATCGTAAACACAGCGGCGGCCAGCGGTGACACATCGCGTGATTCACAAACACTGGCACTGCGCGGACGCAAGTTATGGTGACGTCACCAAGTCCGGGACCTATCATGGCGGCGTGCGGGAATTTAACGAACGCATCCATTATATATAAAATATCATGCGATATTTTCTTAGTGTCGTCGTACTATTATATCAAAAAAGTATTTATATAAATTTTACTGTGGTAAAAATAATAATAATTGAAGCTTCGTCGATGATTCACGCGTCATCGGTATTCGGGATGTCGCACATAGGTATAGCATTAACGAAGTGTGTCGCACGGAATAGGCCCCAAGGCAGTTGGTTGACGCCCGTCGCCCGCCGCTCGCCGACCGCGTTGTTGAATATTCCGTGTTACTATACATATTGTATTTACAACCTCCTCATCAACTCGCACCAACTTGACGCAAATACACTACTGCTTGACCTTCCTTATTTAAGACACCAAGAAAACGTCTGCAATTACTATGGATTACAACACAGAAACGTATCTTTTCAAATATCTTAGTATTTATATTTTAAAGAATCTTCAACAATTTAACAGATAAACTATTGCAGCTTTTAGAGTTAGCAGCATTTCGTTAAAAATTCCATCGTTGCAAAGCAATTTTCTATTTTATATCGAATGTTAAATGTAAAAAATAAATGAAAATAACGAGTGCGATATTGTTTGTTGAACAGCGCTCTGCTTACAAACGACCGTTACGTGAGAACAGAGACCTGGTTTTATAGAAAACATGTATATACATATTAATAATAAATGTATTGATTACATTATCTGACGATACAAATGTATTCGAGAAATGGGTGTTATTTGGATATATTTTGAGAAAAAACGTGTTCAGTAAAGAGCTAGCGTATACATGACCTTAATCTTATATAGGAACTTTTTGTATTTTTGTAAACATACAAACAAGAGTAAATAATCCTATAATTATTTATAATATAATAAATAAAGACAAAATTAATATATTAGTAGATAGTTCTTGTTTTGTGTAAGTAGCAACTATATCTTAGTATAATTAGCTTAAAATTTACCCAAGACGATTTTAAAACATTATTTCTATTTTAATTTAAATTGTATTATTATCTATACATTTATACAATGCAATTTAAAACATTTGTTGAAATATAGTTATTCCGTATATAATTATAACTTTCTAATATACTTAACAGACGTTGTCCTGTCATGTCTAAGACATCATTAATGCCAGGAGCTGGGTAAGTAATAAAGTTCATTTTTAAAACCATAGATCATAGATTACAATAATTCAGACCTTATTTTCAGATAAAATAACTCTAATTTAACCAAAAAATTATATAACGCTACTTTAGAATTATGAATTGACAGACAATTGTCAAACAACTGACAGTTATTTAAAATAGGTATGCTTAGCAAAAATATTTTATTTTTTTTAATAAAGGTAATTGTTATTTTTTCATAAATTTTATATTTTCCGCGAGTTAAGAAAATTATTTTTTTTATCGTTAAATCCTCACAGTAAAAAGATAAAAATAAAGAAATTTTGTATTCTTTTACCGCTCACTCCTGATGCGTGACCATTCGAAATAGGAATAACAAATATTTATGTATAGATAATTAAAATAATTGGAATTGAAGTACTTACAATAATTAATATCAAAATGTTAGAAATGATTTTTGCTATTATTACTTTTAAGGGGTTTATTTTTGTATAAAATCAGCATTGTATTATAATTATTCTATAATGCGGTAGTTAGTGTGCCTTTTGGGTAGATGAAGAATTACAAAAAAAAGAGCAATAACAAGATTGATTTTTTTGCCATATTTTACAAAGTTATGTATCTTTTTTATTATTGAGTTAAATAAGTAAGGAAAAATGATTCAGGTACGAAATAACTCAATTTACCATCTTTCAAGTTATCGATTATTTTTAGTGAACAACTGTATTTGGTTTTCTGAAAATGTTAAAAATAATAAATCTTTTTCACTATTGTATTGAAAAACTTATGAAATGCTACAAATCAGAAATCATAAGCAACATATAAACCCACAATTCCATGCGAGACTAAATTTAATTTTCTACAGCGGGTTTTTTCCTCGAATAAAGAATTGAACTACTTTCTGACGAATTTGACTCATGATTTTTGATTGCATTGTTGACTTAAAAAGAAAGAAACGAACACTATTCACATGTTATTTTCTTGCAGACAAATAAAAAATCTGAAGAATATTGTTTTTATGACTGAGATATACACATTTTTTTATTGATCACAGCTTTTTCATGGTTCCTCTAAGACTTCGTTCCTGTAAATTTAAATTGTAAAATCAGAAGCATCTTATAAATTAATATTTTTTGTGAATAAAAATATATATATAAGGGAAATATCGTATAAGGGACTTGATTGAAAATGAAGCTGTCTATGGCGAGACAATCGATTTCAATGTGGGTCAAGTTGTAGACAAAATTTCCTCGAATATAAATTTCATTTAATGGACTCCATGATATTGTTACTTATAATTACATACAAAATTATATTTAGTTGATATTTATAGATGTATACAGTTATTACGCATTCGCATATTTTCTTAAATACTACATTTAGTTAATAAAAACAAGTGTCAACTGCAGACAACACATTACCATACTAGATATGGTGTCAATTATATTTTACGTTATTAAAAAAAATCTTTGTCAAGCAAGCAAGCAAGTCTTTGACAGCAACAACGAATAGAAGTATGAAATAATTATTTTATAAGATTACTGTTATACAAAATTTATTAACTGCTTGATATGTAGTTAAAATTGTAGGAATATATTTCAAGACTTATGTTTACACAAACTAAACACCATAAAAACAAGTCCCTAAATATATACCTATATTTTTTTAATTATGATCAATTCTTATAATATTTTTATAAAACAGAAGTTAAAACATTCACACTCAGTATAAATCATTATTATATTTCTGTATAGTATATTGAAATTTAAACAAAATAATTCAGGATAAAAAATAAAAAACAACATATAATTCTACATCCATTATATTTCAACGTCGTTAGTGGTGATAATTAAAATCAATACATGTCAGATGCATTTCAATTCACGTTATTTATACACGGGATCCTAGACCACTAAGAAATTAACCTAACGCTCTCATACCAATGTCTCCTTAAAATAAAAAAAATATATAGTTAAAAAATAATAATAATTCCGGGCGAGTCGACGAGTTTACATAAACGGTATAAAATCAGTCTAGAGAAGAACTTGTCACCACACAACGTCGGTTTGCATGAGCACAGTATACTTACAACTAAACAAAAATAAAATTTAGTCCCTTATAATTAAAATACTTTAGTAGTCCATTAAAAAAATTGTAAAACGTTTGTATACTGCATGAGATTCCACGGGCTTTGACTAGTTTAAAAAATAAATACACACCTCACCGTTTAAATTAATTGTGATGAAATAGGGATAACTAGAAAAAAATGTAAAGCTTCCAAAAACATACCAAATAAAGGAACTAAAAAAGAATCATACCGATCAGTTAAATACGAGTATGTTTTATACATATCAATAATACTAGAAACAAATATAATTAAGGTACACAATCAGCATTCAGTATTAGATTAATGATAGTACAATAACTCACACAGCCCAAGCTTATTCCATTTCCATAATATTAACAGTCTTGTAATAATCATATCACATGTGAAAGCAAACCAACATTGTGATGGCAAGTAATTTGGCAGTGTAAGAAAAAATCACCAAAATCTGTCATATGTACCACAATTAAGATCACAATACAGTTAATACTTAACAATTAAAACTTACCCTTAGTATACAACGGTGACAGTTTTTGTACAATGCCATCTCCGAGCTCGTTTTTTTATTTTTGTATAACATTTAAAAGTTCAACTCATTACTCATACAGCCCGATTGACATCAGAATTGGCGAAAATCTCAGTCTTCTAACATTTCCCAAAACTCACTTACTTGTGCCTCGACAATGATAATTTGCGCCAATAACCTCACATTACATACTTAGACTATTAGGTGAAAACGAGCACGGAGTTATCGTATAAAGCGCTTACAATTAATTATTCTAAAAATGAATTATACAGGAATGTCTTATAAATAATGACGTTAGAGGTCCGATTAACGCATGAAGTATTTCCATCACATCTACTGTCACATATAAAAATCGATTAAAATCACCTACTCCAATATAAATTCCACTCATACAATACGGTAGATAAAAAATAATAAAACACACGACATATAAAACATTTAAGCTCAATAGGTTATGTGGGTAGCACGTAGGGCAACACACGAGAGTTAAGACGTCTTATACGTCGCTTGTCAACAAGTAGAAAATATACGGAATATTAATTAACATGTAGTTTATTGCTGTGGTCGGCACTGTACAAGATAGTCACCGGTTTAATGCAAGTGGAGTGAGCTCGAGGAACAGCCGTCGGGAACTGAAACATACAATACAATTATACTTGTAAAAGCATCCATTTTGTGTGTCTATGGTTATATAGAGCAAAAAGTTTTCATTCAAATTTATTCTACACTTATATGTTCGCGTTCTTATTTCAAAGCATATACATATAAGTGTATATTAGTTATTTACCTGATATTATTTCGTTAAATATATATAAAGTTAAATTAAATGTGCTTATTAATATTCCTATTCATATATTAATATTGGTAAGCCCTATAGATTAATTCCTATAGATAAAAAATGTACTAGTGCACCAAATCATCTGTAATACATTTTTTGTCTTATTTATCAAAAACAAAGTACTGTTAATGTTAGTGTATATATCTCACCATAGTTTTATGCCTCAGTGGCTTGTTCTATGAGGTCGGTTCTCGGTTCCTCCGTCGATACTGTCTTAACCTTAATGTCTGTTACTTCAGGTTCCACCTTTTCATCACCGTTCTTCGCGTCTCCATTCTGTCTCACATCGTCTCCATTCTCCGTCAATCTCGTGTTTAATTCCTCCGTTTTGTTTGAATCTCCGTTCTCTATTAGGTCGCCGTTCGTTTTTCCATTAACCTGTGCATCTTCTGTCGTTTTGTCTGTTTCTTTTGATGGTTCTGCGTTTTTTTCTTCTGTTTTGTCATTTATATCTTTTTTATCTTCTTTGTTTTCTTCTGGTTCACTCTTATCTACAGGTTCTTCTGGTGTTATTTCTATTTTAACATCGCTCTCAGTGACAGTTTCTTCTAACACTCCGTTCTTTTCGACCTGTTTTTCTTTGTCGTCTATATTTTTTTCTGGATGTTTTTCTTTCGCTGTTGCCTCGTTGTTTTTCATTTCCATTTCGAGTTCAGTGTCTAATATGCTGTCCATAATGTCGTTCGTATTTTCGGCTTCCATTGATTCCTCTACGATGGGGTTTAGTAGCGGTCTTAATGGCATCGTGTCCAGATTGGTAACACCCTGTACCTTTGATAGTATCTCATCGCATTCCTTTTCAAGTACGTCACCAACATTTCGTAATTCTTCGACGTCCTCAGCGGCCGCCGGTTCTTCAACCACTGGCTCTAAGTCCTCAATTATTTCGGCCATTTCGCTAATATTTTCTTTGTCGCTCGTTACTTCTTCTATTTCAGTTATCACTGTAGGAGATGCTTCAGAGGCGGGAGTATTCGTCTCTGTACCATTTTTGTCGGAGTTCTCTTTTGGCACGTCAGGAGTTTCAGTCTTGTCTTTTGAGTCTGTATTTACGTTATTTTCAACAAGTGTGTCTTTTTCTTTTTCTACTACTGCTTCGTCTTTTTTGTTGTCCACTTTATCATCAGCGGTCTCTGTTTCCATAGCTTCAGTTTTCTCCGGTTTGTTCTCATCAACTTCTTGTACTACAGGCTCCATATCGACTACATTTTCAGTAACTTCTTTTGTGTTCGTAACATCCTCAATGGATATTTCAGTTTTAACCTTTTCCTCTTCTTTCGCTGGTTCATCTTTTGTTTCTTCCACATCCATTTTTTCTGGTTCCTCTACTTTCTCAGGTAGTGGTGTCTCTTCTTTAGATGAATCTGTTTCAGAAGCCGATTTGACGTCTTTCTGTATGTCGGTTTTAGGTACTTTAGCAGGTTGTTCATCCTGAAACGTTAATTAATGTTTTTCGTTAATAAATTACTTCTCGGACCTGCCATTAAATAATAGCAAACATATATATCTGGATATTGCCAATATATTAATGAAAGATATTTTATTTGTAATATGTGTAAGCATCATTATGCCACCAGTTACCCACACAGAGATTTATCAAAGTTAAAGAAGAATATAATTTCAATAAAACAAAAACATTACGAAAAAATTAAATCCATAAAATATGTCGTAATAATAATGTGACAGAACTAAATAACTTCATAGGTTATACACATAGAAGTAATATTTGAAAATTATATAAATGTCAGTAAAAATAAATCATAACACTTAGTATTCAAAATAAAATTGCTTTATTATACAAACAACAACAATAAGAATTTAATCTGCAACCAGTAACATTTTTTCTATATACTATTAGGTATTGCTATTATATTAATCAAGGATACAATACCCTTACTATAAGTATCCAGAGCATTTCTAGTATTTCAATCACAAATGCTATCGTTATTGTAGTTTTATCATTAAAACCGACATCACTGCTAATTCAGTTTGATGAAGAAACTTATAGTAATGGTACTGATCAAGTAAATAACAATTATTTAACATTCAAAGCTACCCTTCACCACTACACTACACGTCATGTATGCACCTGAGGTTCAGTCTTGCGTTTGTTAGAGACTGCTAGTTGTGTGAATGTATGTATCACAGGGTAAATGTCAGTGGCCTCGGTGGGTAATGAACTGTTTCCCTCACGGCTGGCCAACGCCACATGAAGACCTGCTTTTGATGCTGCTTCAGCTTCTGTAAGTTTAGGATAATATTTAATATTGGATAGCTTAACTATGTACCGATAATAATTTTGGTTATCTGCATTTTAATAAAATTATCACACGAAAGTTCAAGCTGAAATAGTTTAGAAATAAACGACTATTAAGGTAATTTTTACACAGTTAGTAATTATTTAGTGTTTAATTTATTACTAATTGTTATTTTTTTTAATAAAAAAATGCATTTGACGTTAGTTGAAAATAAATTTACCTTTAACAATGTCAGTAATAAATAATACTTCATCAGCATTGCAGCCTATTTTTTCCACTATAGCCTTGTAGCTAGACTCTTCCTGTTTTCCTCCAACCGCAGTGTCAAAGTGACCATCTATATATTTGAGGAGGTCACCAGCTAATGATTGTCCAAAGAGAAGTTTCTGAGCTTGAACCGAGCCTGATGAATAGATGTACACTTTTTGACCTTCAATTGAATGCCATTGTTCTAGTGCTGTAGAGACGTCATCGAAGACACTACAACAAAATACATATGATTATAATAATGTAGTATTTAAGTATTAAAATTACTGTGAAGTTTATATGGTTTTGAAATTTAGTAATTTCGACATTAGATATAAAATTAAGTATTCAATGGGCCTTATAAAATTACCAAATGCTTACAATTTTCTTGTGGTGATGTGATATAGATTTTTTTTATGAAAAAAAAGCTATTGACCAATTTTATAACTAAACAATATGAAAGGATATAGCAAAGAGATGGTATATCATGTAATATATTACTGCCAATGTGGCAGTCAGTGGTGTCCTAGTGGTTAAAAGGCCTGCCTCTAATGCACGAGGGCATGGATTCGATCCTGTCCCTGGCAAATACCAATGTGATTTTTCATATGTACTTTCTAAGAGTAATTAGACATCTCTGATTAATGAATTCCCAAAGAGGCTTGATGTCAGGCAGACGGCTGGTCGTAAAAACAATTAGCCAAAACTGTTCACAACATGTAAGGCAGACACTGGCTAAAGCTGGGAAGTTGCCAGGTAGAAGAAGAGAATAAATGTTACTGCCAACTTACTGCCCCTTAAGGTCTCCTTTGTCATAGCCCTGCTTCCATATGAGCCCCTGCAACTGTTTGAGAGCACCTACTTTACGATCAGCGGACATCTGCCATTTGACATTGTTGACTAGACCCTCAATTTGATCTTCCTTAGAGGCATCCTGGAATAGTAACACCATTGTTACAGCAAACTTTTTAAATTACTCATGTTTGTGAAACTCATAACACCAACATAGCAAATTAGGGGCCATCCATAAAGTACGTCACACGTAAAGGGGGGGGGAGGGGGTCGACAAAGTGTGACATGGTGTGACAAGGGGTGGGAGGGCTCCTAAGTTTCGTGACATCACATTTCATAATCTAGAGGTACTAATCGCGTAACTTGAAATATTAATTAAACTAAAAAATATGTCCAACTCTATCTTTAGGGCAATACGGTTTGTTTTGTTGACAAATTCATAGCCGCTTGAGCCGCTTCTGACACACGGTGCCGATCGCCGACGAGCCCTTTGACTAATGCCGCAAAACGCACCGCACCTCGCGTAGGTTACTTTGATACTATTTTGATTTCATAAAAAGGTACTTAATTTAAATGGAAATAAAACTAATTTCGGAACTGCTATTTTATTTAATAATTTTTCGATGTTAAATTGCAAAACATGTGACGTCACGCTAGGGAGGGGGGGTCTCAGAAATGTGACCACCTGTGACAAGGACGGGGGAGGGCTCGAAAACTCATGAAATAAGTGTGACGTATTATATGGATGGCCCCTTAGATGGTTAAGCATAAAAAAAGGCAAATTGAAGTTATATTTCCTATTAATGATAATAATTAAAGATGTTTTGCAATAAGAATTAAACGAGATATTGTACCAGAAAACTGATTTTTTAAAAATCCAAATGCCTAAAGGACGATAAAAAATTAAGAGGGTGTTTATAGGAACGAAAAATTGTATGAGTCTTTTCAAATTAAATTCACTTTATAATGTACTTTATAGGGCTTTAGAAGAGAATTTATATTGAAGAAAATACACATGAAGAAAGAGCAGTATGAAGGAAATGGCATATAATTTGATGTATGATATAATTTGATATATGATTCTTAAGCATTCTAATACACGTTAAACTTCATACCTCGCCAGGGATAGCTACGAGTCCCTCAACATTTTTTTCCTTATCTTCAATCGCCAGTTTCCTCAGCTCTGTCACCGATTCCTTTACATCATCATTCTCCCACTGAGCTTCTAGGAACTGTTTTACATTTTCTTCTGCGTAGGGAAACAGCTTATCCTGTAGACAAATATATTATGATGAATTTATATCAACATTATCAAAATCTATTTGTTTTTAAGAGCCTCTTCTTGTGGCACTTAAAATCTTAAAGATAGTTGGAAGTCGATTTAGGCTTGTCTATATAAATTATGACTAATTTGTATTTAACATATATAAACTTAATAGTTACTATTAAATAGTTTTAATCAATTATTTTATCTAATATTGTTGATATTTAATATTTATTACCGCATTTTTAATTTGAACCACTACTGTCAGCTTTCGAGATTATTAAATACAAATATCTATTTGTGAATGAAAAATCTATAATCTGTGAATATGTTTAGTTTACGATGTCGTAGTAGTATGAGTATTAGTGAACCAGCAACAAGAAAAGCAAATATTTTTTTTCGAATTCTTATGAACTTAGTTTGAAAAAAATTCTTCAGAACTTCTATATTACTTTTTATTTCGCACTGCCTACTTTTTCTTCAAATATGTCAATGCCTCAAAGAAAATAAAGGCAACATTTTGGCCATATTACAATGATGTCAGTGAGTAGAACATAAAAACGATCAAGAGAATCTTGTTTTTGGAATATTTGATTGATTTATTGTCAATGAAAATAAATATACAGAGAAGTTACTATGTGATTCATAAATTAATATAAATCAACAATAAAGAATATAGGGTAGAATAAAACAAAGACAAAAAGCTAATAATAATTTCTTATACCTGGAGACCAAAATTACATGAATTATATGGTTTACAGAATAAATATATGTGAAGAATATTTACATGTGATGTGTGAAATACATATGATACTTATATTTGAAACAGTTTCATAAAACCCCATAACATACTGGTACAGATATTAATACTTTATGGCTTCTTTTTGCTTTGCATTTAGCTATTCTCAATAACTAACTATTTTTTTCAATACTAGGATAATATAAAAATATGTATTTTTATAGAACATTATGGTATAACGGGAGTTGTTAGTAATAATAATGTAATCATCGATTTTATAACATTTTTTAAAGGATCATTTTAGGATAATCTCAGACAGACATCGAATTAATATAAATTATATTAACGTGTTTAAATGAATTTACAGTATCGCTGGCGGGCTCGTTGGGAGTAAGAGGAATTTGATTCCACTTATTACGCATGCGCCATGAATGTACCCCCGGGCTGAATAGATTACATTATGGCTAATAATTATTTCAATACTCAACACGGTCTGCTAGATGTGGTCGTAAAATCTATATTAAACATCAATGTACTTCAATAGACTAGGTACTTGAAAGAACAAGCGAATCAATTGATGACTGTAGACACATGTTTTGATTTATCTGCTTGATATTGATAGTGGTCGCTGTTGAGATGATAAATAATAACTTGCCTATATGATTATAATTTTTACGTAAAAATCATTTTAGTAATGACTTAATAGTATTCCTAATGTAGGTACATTAACATCAGTTTTGACATGTATTATTTATTGTTATTTAAAGAATTGTTCAAATTTCATATAGTCTACCAAAATTAAAACCTATATAGATGAAATCAATCTCAAAGAACAAATAAAAATATTAAACCTATATTTAGGTATATAAGGACTTCTCCTATATTTTTAAGCCAAGTAGAAATATTGTACATTAAACTGTTTAGCATAACGTGATAGTGAAACTCAGCTATGAGCCGGGGTCGATGTACGACCGGCGACTGTCCAAACCGGATAGCATAGCCGGCTTCACAGCGCCATGGCTACTTTGTTTTCAAATGTTAGGTATGTGCTCCAATTATATTTTTATACCGCCTTTGTCTTGTCATAGTAATAGTCTGAACTGTTTTTATAAGCGGAAAATTGCTTTAACTAACAGTCAGCGTCGTGTAGGTTCTGGTATCATATTTATTTACTCTTAAGTCTTAAAGTAATCTGATATGAATAAATTCATTCCGTCATATGGAGCTAGGTTAGGTTACACTTTCCGCATTAAAGTTCATCAGTTTAAACCTTCACTTTTTAAATAAAAGAAACAATATTAATTAAATTAAGAGTTTTTTTGGAGGGATCAGGGAATTCTTTCATTTTAATACATTTTTATATATTATATGTGTATGAAGTTTCAAATATTAGACATAATAAATAGAAAAAGTATTTTTTATACGTAATTATAAATATATCGATACGCTCTATGGACATCGTCCTCTACAGCTGACCGCGAGTGACCATAACCCGTAGAGGAAGCATTTTATCTGAGTCATTGCTCTGCGTGAGTTAAAAACTAAATTATGTACTCACTTTCGTTTGCTGAATACAATTAGCAAAACATTCACGAACAAAAAATAGACAATTAGATGAAGTAATGATACATAATGGATTAATTATATCTATTTTGTAACTATGATAATAAATGCTTTTTTCTTAACAAATCTGTATATATTGTAGTGAGTGACCGAATCAGTGTGTTATTCGTGACCTCCTAATGTCAAAATAACTGCCTGCATCCGTCAGAGAATATTTTTTATTAAGTGCTCGATATATGTAACATTGATATCTTCTTAAAAACACAACTTTTTACTTTTACAGACTATCTGGTGAGGGGTTTTCTTATTAATTTGCTTTTCCTGTTCACCTTGGACACGTTTTAAAGGATTAAGCATTTATCCTTATCATTCTGACACATCTACATTTGATTAAGTTAGATACTCCGAATTAACTTCATCAGTATGAGGTGATGTATAAGAAAATTATGATTCATCACCTTAGTTAAGAAATTTTTTCCATCGATTAATATTTGTTGGAATCTAACTGTTTTTAGGCAACAACTTTGTCTTGTTGTCGAAGTCACCGGTTTTATCATCTATCATAAATAGTTCATAAGTTTTTTAACAATGTCTTCAATAACTCTTTAACATAAGCCTTCCAAACGATTATCTGCGATTGATCTTAGAAGTATATTTTCAATATGTTCTGCAATTTAAGCAAGAACGAAGTAATTAGAGCAAATTCCTTGAAAAATCGTGGTATTCAGTTCTCTGGCAGAAAGACTCTACAGCAGTTTCTTTAAACCTTTAATATTAGTTTAATACTTTAGCTTGTTATCCTAACAGATTTTTAGTGAAAACTGTTTTAAATTAACCCTAACAAACCTATTTGCTGTTGAAACCCTTCGAAGACTACAGAATCAAAATAATGGCCTTAACCGTCTATCCAAAACAATTAGTGTTGCGAAATTTAATAATAATATTACATATAAGGCTCATGTATGTCTATCGTTATTATATTAAAATACTTTTTCCAAATTACCAATCAATAATAACTATTACAATACATAACATATAGTCACCAAAAAAAATGTATCATAATAATATTAGTATTTTAAAGGATTATTCTACATACATATATACTTTTTTCAACTAGCATAACATCACAAAAGTGAGTCTTGCCTTCTAAATTCACTATTACAAGTAGGTATATAAGTACTTTAAACAAATCCCTACTAATATTATAAATGCGAAAGTAACTCTGTCTGTCTGTTACGCTTTTACGCCAAGAGATAGAGTTGACCTTAAGAAAGAACATAGGATAGTTTTTATCCTAGACTTTTGAAAAGTTCTCTTGAAAACGCGATATAACCGAACTCCACGCGGGCGAAGCTGCGGGCGGAAAGCTAGTATAATATACATACATATATGTAAATTTGAGACATGGGCATACCCACCTAATATATGTATTTTATTAAAGAACAATGTCTACTGCTAAGGCGGAATGCAATTTTCTAAAGTAGAGAGCAACGTAAAAGGATATTATATTATTAGTTTTTTTAAACGTTACCTGGATCCTAAAGTCGTTTTCAAATATAAGAAACATCATATAAACAATATTTAGTGTTATTACGGTATTCTACCTGCCACACAAAACAATTACCTTTTTGACTGACATCGAAGAATATGATTATGTATTTTTACTAGTATATTCGTATGTACCTACGTGTATTGTCATTATATTGTACTTTAAGAAACTACGGATTCGAAATAGTTGAGAATTTTAATTTTTACAATACTAATTTGGAGTTGAAATAATATTATATATTTTTGTCTCAATTTTCTTACTACAATATTTCTAATCATAGTAAGCACAGTCATGAGAATCCAACTTTTTCAGTGAAAATCTCTCTTAAATATAAATAAATTCAATACATCGCTTAATCATTACAAGATTATTTTTTATTTTTTTCATTAATATTCGTTTCACGATTTTTCATTACAAACAAACCCACCTACACTCAATATTAAACATTAACTTTCACTATCATAACAAACAATAAAAATGATTTTATTTTACCGATATTAGATTAAATTCAGGAAAAATATGAAAAGGAATATTAATAACTGATAGTAAAATTGAAATATTTTTAATTGAAAACGAATATATGATTAATTTTAAACATCGACAAAGGTAGATTACTGAATAAGTAATAAAGCGAATTTATGTATAACAAAAATTTGCAATCCGTATATTTTTTTGGTGATGGCCTGCACGAGGAAAAGTCCAGGTAGGCAGATAAATACAAGTTTCCAAGAAATGGGGACGCCCTTATTATCCCATTCAGAATCCGACCCCATGTTCGTAGAGGGGCCTCAAACCTGTTTTTTTTTTTTCATTTACACATCGCTTTTATATTACCAATATTGGATCCTAACGTTCAATAGCGAAGTCACTGTTCTATCATCTTTCATAAATAGTTAATAAGTTTTTTAATACTCCACCGTTCACGAAAATTAGGAAATAATAGAAATAGTAAAACAATATTTGTTTACAAGAAGCTTATATCCAAAACTAGTTTTTAATTATCAACATTTTTTGTGAAAATGAGTTTAGTAATTAATTTATAGTATAAACAAAATAAATGCCGAACCAAATTTATTCGTAACGTAAATATTTCGTTGTATGGACAAAAACTGGATCGAAACACGAGGCAGAATTTCGCTTTCGAACAAAACATCGAAAAAAAATATTATCAAACCACTTTGTTCCTAAACTCTTGGGAATAGAGCATATAAAGTCAACTTTTGTTAACTCAAAGTAGCCAAACCCGGCTAGACTAGTACATTCATGATAAACACTATTTAGTTTTGTTTCATTCAAAATAAATATATAATAATTCGTTACTTATCTCTTTCATCATTATAACATTTGAACGAGTGTGAACGAGACACACGATTGACGACTGTATGAAAAGGACAGTTAACTGTTAAACATTTTTTTTTCCCAGCCAGCTGCGAGGAACAGCTGTTTTAAGCCGGTAGGCGTTGACTTGAAATTGTTAGAAGCACGTTTATTAAACTGTATTATCATTTAGAATAGTTAAATATTACTATAAAAAGTAATTTTTTAAAACTTTTATTTATATTTCTAACTAAGCTATGATCGATAAAATTGTTTTATCAACAGTTTTTTAGGTTGAGGTCAAAGCATTTATTTATGTTGTGAGATTAGATGTCACTGTTGAATTAACCATAATTAAATAGCGTTATTAAATAAACATTTTAAATTAGAATAGGTTCCATTTTGATTTCGTCCACCATGTTGCGAATCTGAAAACCGCGACCATTTTGCAATTCACTCGCACAGACTAAACTAGGAATTTCGGCTTAACAAAAATAAGGATAAAATGTAATCATCCCGAAATATTATAAGATACGATTTATTGTTGTGAAATTATAGTATATCACGTGTTAAAACAAAACACCGGCCGGCCAGTTATTTCGACCTACCTTAACAAAGCTGATCGATGTTGTTGTTCCCTCGATGTCCAACAGCAAAATTTTACACTTCTTTACGATTTCACCAATATCTTTGTTATCATTTGCCATTTTGTACTAGTACTACCTTTATCAGGTGTACTTTTAAATTTTCTGAATCTACTTGACTAGAATTCTTCCACGCCACACTACTACCCCACACCACAGAAAAAAAGCATTGATTGAACGAGACACGAGAACACGGCGAGCGTACTGAAGGACGCGCGGGTGCGAATTCAAGAGGGAGCAGGATGGATACATTTGCCAAGGGAGTGAATGAGATAGAATACCGGAAGGATGTAGCTACTATCAATGCATCCAACATACTTTTGTATTAACCCTTATATTGCCAGCTGTTAGATTTAGTGGAAAATAATGTTATCTTCAGACAACTTTCAACTGCGATAAAAACAATTTTAATAAGCAACTGATGTTAAATATTAATCATTCAAAACACTATGTATTATCACATGTAAACGAAGTAATGATGAATTCTAAATTTTAAGTGTGTATACATTTATCGTTAACCTTGTAACATCAAGCCCATTTTTTTTATATTTAAGCAGTTAAAATATTCAGTCACTCAGAATCTTTCCGATTATATGAAATAAAAACCTTTTTTATTAACTTGAAAATACTATTTGTTAATTTGTATTTATCTAGGCATAATTATAGTGTGATTGTATGTCTTTCGGCAAGTTTTGTTTTATATTCTTAAATGCCTATATATTCTTTAATTACCACTATACCTTAATTATTAATATGTCAGCCAAAATTGTGGGAATGAAATAAAAGGTTTTGATATCGTAATATTATTTTATTTTTTTACACATTGATGTCACTTTTTAATACTAATTTTTATTATCTTATAATTATATTTTTATATGATCAAACAACGATGGCTTCCTTATATTTGAACTTTCAGTCTTCAATTTCTTTATAAGTCTTGGAGTGTGGATTACTTCAGCCTTCCGTTTAGTAGGAACCTGAAAATGACGCATATTGTGAATATTACAACTTTGCTATAAATTAAGTCTTTTTTTTGAGAGGATAAATGGTTATATAAAAATTACAGCATTAATAATAAAAATTTTAATAATTGATAATTTTTTTCTTCATCGTCGTAAGCCTCTGCAGACTCGTCGTGGTCATTACAAAGAATATAATTCATAATTATATTCTTCTTAATTAATTGTCTAAAATAACATTTTATATAAAAGAAAAATCATTTAATATAATTTAAACAGCTTTTAAACGACTTAAGTTATGCTCAACTATAAAACAAAGTGAATAATTTTAGAATAGTTATAACCTTATTATCATCGGGATTAATAGAAGTGAACACGAAGTTTCCTCTATTATTGGTAATATTTCTGGGAGTGTCATCATCAGCTAACGGTGTTGCCAAAGCAGCCAGTCTAGCCAACGCTCCTCTCCCACGCGTTAATAAAGATGTATGATAGTTTTGCTAGAAATAAGAAAATATAATATCAATATAGCTCCTATGATATTAAATTTTATTAATATATTTATAACTTAAGACATCACTGAATAATACATTCCCAAACAGGGTTGATGTCAGGCAGGCGGCCGGTCGTAAAAACAATTAGCCAAAACTATTCACAACATGTAACGCACACCCTGGCTAAAAGCTGGGAAATTGCCATGTAGAAGAAGATATATATAATTTATACCTGAAAAATTGTAAATCCCCTCTTTGGACTGGGTATATCTTTTGTAGATTTTTTCTCAACCACAGGTTTTTCTACAGGTTTAATGATTGTATTTTCTGTGATCAAAGAGGAGACGTTTCGGGAAGATAAATTCGCTTTAATTATAGTGCTTCTGTTTATACTTTTGTTTGGCTCTTCATCTTTTTCGCGCTAGAAAAAAAAAATGTTAAGTTTCAGTATTGAAATGTTTATACTTAATTATAATTATTTCGGACTTAATAGCCCTAAATGTTAATGTATTGTAATTACCATTTGCCTTATAAACATTTCTCTTTCATGCCTTTCCTTCCTCCATTGCTCTTCAGATTCAAATTCTTCTTCCTGTGTATCTGTAAAATCTTCAGGATATGTTCCCGTTTCTTCTTCACCATCTATGAAAACCAAATAAACATATATATGCAATACTACAAATCCACAATAATATAAAATTAAATTCACGCAATATTTTCAATTTTCATTATTTTATTGTTTCGAACTAGGAATAGCAAGGAATGAAAATTAACTCTAAGCGTGTCCATGATTCAATCATTTATTTGACGTCACTTAGCAAGTTTTAATTTATATATTACATTTTACACATATCTGGTGATTATAAAATAACATTAAACAAATTAGCTAGTACTTAAATGAAAATTTTGAAGGTACATAGTAGGTTCAGATAGTGGCGATATATTTTACATTTAATATTTTAAATATAATAATATACCTGCATTATTCCATCGAAACTTTCTTTGTCGATGGCCATCACCCAAGTCTCCGTCTTCAAACAGCAGTTCCTGTATGAGCCTCACCTCACGTTTGTCCTGGTCTAGGACTTCACGCCTGAAAAATAAATTCTCTTATATAGAAAATGATATACATTTAAAGATCGTTATAATGATATGTGACAAAGCAACTGCGTTTATAATAAATAGAATTTGTGCGTAGGCTCCGTTAGCACGGAAGAAGTGAAACGTATTAATTGTAAAAAATTCTTATGAACTAAATTTGAAAATAAATACTGCCTTACTAAATGATGTGTGTGTAAAAAAAAACTAAAAAAGTTTACTATGCTGCATAACATCTCTCTCCTACTTTTTATATTTGTGTATCTTTCTTTCTCTTGCTCAGCGTGAAAAGTTTAACGCAACCTTGTCTTAGTCGGATACGAAGTTTCACTTCAAAAAGAAAAACGTAATGACTTATGTGAGGAAGACGTTAGTTTTTTTCTGATATCTATACAAATTTATCTAGCACAATCCTTTTGATTTATGAATGGACTATATCAGAACTATTATAGTAGTGTGAGCAGTTTATATGTTAGTGTGAACAATACATACATATGTATCTGACCCAGCTCTCTTTGCAACTGTCCTTGATGGAATTTGTCATTATCTCCTTCTTCCCTTTCCATTCGGTCGAGCCCCCGTTCATCTTCATCACCGGATCCAACCCATTCATCTTCAGATGTCAATTCAGCTTCATTCTCAAAGAAATCCGTTATTCCTTTCTTTGTTTGTTTGCTTTTTGGCTGCTGTACTACGATCTGTAGGCATGAATTAAGAATATGAGAATATTCTTTAATTAATGCTATAATTATCCAGTTCATTACATTCGATTTTATTTTATATATGAACTGTTTGATTTTAACTATACATCAAGATATATATTAAATTGTAAGTACTGCAAGAACTGTTTAACATATAAAATGTTTGTTAAAGGTTTTAATTTGATATTTTTTTTTAGTTACTCTCACTAGAATTGTTGAGAACATTCAAAACATAGTAAACTGAATGATAGAATTGATACAAATTGAATTATAATTTCTGATTTAAGACAATTTTCTCCTGTTATGTTTTTTATCAGATAATCTTAAATGGTAAATTACCAGAACAGTATAATCACCTCATTTTCCTCTGAATCATAATCTACAATCCTATCATCTTCCTCTTCTAAGTCACTTTCTACATTATCTTCTTCTTCATCATCTGAAAAAAGATTTATTTGTATGATAAATTTATATTTAAAAAATATTTAGACAATAGGAAACCTACAATTACTATATATGATTGTTATGTTCAAATGAAATATGTATATAGGTAAATGTTTTTGGAATTGTAAACGAGGAGGGTTTAAGTTTTTTATTGCACAAAATTTTTTTAATTTCAATTTAAATTTTTGCGACAACTCAGTTGATTTCTAAAAGAAGTAATTTTGTGAGATGGCCAACAATATTAAAATTTAAGTTCATTGAATGACTTCATAATCATTAAAGAGAATAATATTGTAAAATGTAAATATGCCATTATTTTACCTGATATATGTAAAGCCCGTTGTTCTGCCTTCTTTTTCTTAAGTTTCTTGGTCTTTTTTGGTGAATTCTCATTAGTTTCATCATCTGATTCAATAACAAATTTCTTTCTGAGGTCCTTGGACGACACATCGGCCGCGAAATATTTATTTTGTTTGGGTTTGTCGTCTAAGTCATCTAATTCATCTAGAATTGAACTTAATACTGTGTTCTCCTTATTTATCGTATTTCCACTTGTATTTAATACATTTTGGTCTATTACTCCATCTATTAAATTATCATCTTTTTCAAGCAATACCGATTCTTTTTCTATGTTTTGTGATTTCTCCTCAGATCCTGTGTCTTGAGAACTAATTTCCTGAGATACAAGTGGATTTTCATAGAATTTTCCAGTGCACATATCTGTAATGTCATCGCCGAACTCTTGTGATTGCGTTGATGGCAGCGTTTGAGAGCTACCCAGGTTCTGTGAAAAACTTCCAGAGCACATACCAGCAATATCATCCATAATTACCTGTGGAGTGAAAAAACTTTAATAATATGAATATTTTAGCCTTTAATACAAGTTAATTTGGTCTAAGACTTTGAGAGGATTAATTTGCAGCAACCATGCAAAGTATCCTATACGTCGGGAGTATGTTGTCTTTAAAGATAATAATTTACATATAGTAATCTGAAAACATTTAAGTTTCATTTATAATTTTTAAAAACAATAAGTAAATGTATTATTAATAAAGGTATTATTAATCCAAAAACTTTAGTTTCATTTAATATAATAGTTATTAAACTCACATCATCATTTTTAGTTCCACAAACATCCATGTTGTCGGGATTGATGTCAGATTTAATCATTTTTGATAAATCTGGATTTGATAAACATACACTTTGAGCGCTAATTACAACACCACTACATCCATCTATATTTTCAGATTCATTTTCAGTTGATTGTGTTGAAAATAAATCATCTGATAATTTATTCACTTGAGCTAGAGGCAATTCGTCATCTGAAAAGGAATTGGTAAATTTTATAGCCATATTAAACAAGGTAATGCTTACAATTGATATCGGGAGTAATAATATATTGTTTAACTACACATATTTTTGTGTGTATATACAGGGTGACTGGTGAATTACTATCAATATTTAAGGTGAATACTCGGTACATAATTCTCATTCGAATTATGTAAAAAAAAATAGGTACTTAATTTTTGACAAAATTTCCGTATAAATAAATAAAGTGTTGACACGTTCCAAGTGTTCCAAGTGTGGACGCGTGCGGCGGCGTGCTGATACAACACCACGCCCCCGCACGCGTATGTGTGAGTGTGTGTGTATACCTAATCTGTAGGGTATTCACACGATGCGTAATTAATTACATAACTTTTGGTTAACTTTACTTAGAAGTTTATTAAAATTTATGTTATATTAATTTTTATTTTGTCATATATGATCGTCAAATATCACGTCCTCAAGTATCGATAGTAATTCACCAGTCACCCTGTATAAATATTTCATAATTTTTTGGATTAAAATAACTTACTAATTACATATAAAATTCTTTACCTTGTGATTCTCTAATAACAGCGTCATCATTTACAACTTCAGTTTCACCTTTGCTTAAATCATCATTAACTGTTGGTTCATTTTCCTTTTCATCATCAGAATCTTCGAAGGCCTTTAAGATTCTACCTTTTTTCGGTTTGCAATCGTCTAACTCGGGGCTAGATTCTTCGCTGTCTAGATCTTCACTTGATTTATCATCATCATTGTTATCCAAATCTTCATTGTTTTCATCATCACTCACTTCTGCTTCATCATCAAACATAGGATTCCGTTTTTTCGGCTTATCTTCTATGAGAACATCGTCTTCTACTAATTCCTCCTCACTCTCAGATATTTCATTTTCATTTTCTTCTTCTTTTTCTATTTCTTCCATCTTAGCTTCAAGTTTTTCGATATCATCTTCATCAGCCTCACCATTTAATTCAGATTTTAATTGCTGTTCTTCTAGAAGTCGCTTTTCCCATTCCAATGATCTCTGTTCAGCAATCTGTTCCTCAAGTTCTTGTTTTAACTTTAAATGTTGAGTACCTGGTTTATATCTGAAATTTAGTTATAATATAACATTGTATTAATATAGTTTTTGTTGTCTGCTTCGATTGTAGGGACTTTGGAGATGGGACATAAATTTTTTTTCTTATTTTGGTATGTGAAATATGTGTATAAACTAGTGTATAAATAAGTTTTATATAATATTATGACATATATGTAATTGTTGTTTTGCTTACTTGTTAAAGAGTATTTAATTTTGCCATTATAATATTAATGATAATGTTAATTAGCCATTATAATATTAATGATAATGTTAATTAGCCATTATAATATTAATGATAATGTATGTATTATTGTAAGATTTAAATTTTTAGTAGGCAATATAATATTGAATTAATGTGCTCACTTCTTTTCCCGATCTTTTTCAATGTCTTCTAATGTCTTTATTTTAGCAAAAAAACTGAATCTCTCCTTCAACAGCTCAACACCACTTAACTTTCTGGATCCTGAGTCTTCATTATCCAAATCTATTAAGGTGCCCGGTCCACCAGTGAGTTTTGGGATTGGTTTATCACAATTGGTTTTACCTATAATAATTAAATTATATAAGACATAATAAAAGAACAATTTAAAACTGGTTTCATATCATACTTACTACAAATAATTTCAGCCTCTTCAATAATTTTATCTATTTCATCAAAATTCATATCACAATCTGAAAATTCATCACTTTTGTCTTCATCCTTATCATTAATTACTTCATTAACTTCATTCTCTACTTTAGAATCTGTGTTTTCTATTGCAGTCTTTTCTGAGTCAAAAACTAATGAAATTTCCTGACTTTCATCTGCAACTGATTTTTGTAATGCAATATTTTCTTCTAAATTACTTTCTTGACACACATCTGTTTTACTAATGTTAGACATAGTATCAGTAACATTTTTATTTGACGATTCTGTTTCTATAGGTAAATCAAGAGTATCCGACAGTTCAATTTGTTTATCACTTCTATTGAGATTATCAACTTCTGCAGAGTTTTCAACATTAACAGCACTTTCTTCATTACTGTTTGAAATTATTTCTGTAATAGGCTCAACGGTTTCTTCAATACTTTCATCTGTCACTCCTTTGTTATCATTTGTTTCAACCATTTGTTCAACTCCTTTGTCCTCATCCTCACTATCACTTTTACATAATTCTATAACCTCCTTCTGCCTTTGTTCCAATAACATCCTAGAAGCAGATATTAAATTAAAACAAAAAAATCTTGTACATTTATAAAATTTTTTTTTAGAAAAGGTACAATTTTGTTTCTGCAAGAATATGTTGAGATACTGATATCAAAAAAGTATATTGACTATAAATAAGTAAAAATTTTGTCTTTTATATAAAAAATTTGTCACAAACACACTTAAGACAATTAGTAAACTTCTTTTAGTATATAATAAATACTAATACAAATTCAAAATCCTTACGCATATTGCCTAAGCTGATCTTCATTCATTTTAATGGGTAAAGTCCTTCCATCAGAACTAACAGCTGGTTTCCTTCTACTCATTATATCTTTTAAGGTCAAAGCCTTTGGTCTGTGATATGGTAATGAGACACCTTTTTCTCTTAACATGCGATTTGATTCACTTTTAATCTTTTGCTTATTTTCCAATGCTTGTTTCGCTGTCATCTATGAAATACAGTATGAAATTTTAACTTTAAAGTTCAGAATAGTTAATAATTATTATGATACAAAGATGACAAAATAATTGATTTTTTTTAAAGGAATTATATAAACTATACATTACTTTCATAGGTTTAGGAGATGTAGATTTAGTCATTTTTGGTTTAGACCTTCTCTTGAATGATTTTATTTGCATGTTCTCTTCTTCATCTGAGGTGTCAGGGTCACATATCGATTTCATAGCTTGAATATTACTTTTAACTTTCTATAAACAAACAATAATTTAGATATTAAGTAATTAGATACATTTTAAAAGGTAATACATTACAATTAATCTTAGTTAAAAGTTATAGACAAATAGAGAAAAAGGAAGGTACACAAACCTGCTTTATTTTAAGACAAGAAAATTCATCATCTGATTCACTATTACCAGAAGTCAGATTTTTATGTTCCACATCATCAGAAGTCATTGTACCAGATTTTCTGTGTAAGAGCATACTTTTGAATTTATCTTTAAGAGTATTTTCCTTGTCTTCCCTTCTTACTGATTTTCTAACAATCGAATTATCTTCCCCATCAGTATGTTTTTCTGAAGAACTATGTTCACTATCAGAACTGTCTATTCTTTTAATCCTTGTCGATTTTCTTTCTTTAGTGTTTGAATTCAAATTTAGTTCAGGATTTATATCTTTGGAATTCCCTTCTTCATTTGTGGTTTTTGGGGACATTTCAACGCTTTTACTAAAGTTGTCTTCGTCACTATCAAAATTCGTAAAGTGCTGAGTGCGCTTTTTAGGCGCAACAATTGGGTCAACGTCGTCATCGCTCAAACTATTCATATCTTTTAGGTTCCCTTCATCACATTCCATGTCACCAAATATAACAGCTTTTTGTAAATTAGGCTCGTTTCTCGTATCACTAACATCATCACAAATAGAATCGGTAATAAAGGAAGACGAGTCTAATACAGTCACCGCAGTCATTGTAATATTAATGTCAGCAATATTTTAACCATCGGTAATGTCAAAACAAACTATTAGTTATTTAATTTAAAACTTATCTCATGAAACTAGATATTTTACAAAATTTTAAACATACAAATACGGGCACTGTTTTTGACAGTTGACGTTATTCAACATATTTCGCGCCACTTTTTAGTAGTTATAGTATAACAGACTGCTATATTATGAAATAGACAAGTCCAGTGTAGTTTAAGGCAATTACTTTTATCTTAAAATTTATATTTACCTAAAAATCTGGATTCAAAAACTAAAATCTGTACTCATATTTAATTTTTTACAAAATATAGAATTCTCAAACATAATTTTATTAATCACCAAAAATACGAGTATATATTTTTATTAACAATTTAATTACAGATTGTTGCAAAAAGTTTTTCATTATTTAATAATCGAACACCCTACCTATTATGATGAAAAAGATTACTTAGTATATGAAATTATGATTGTTTTAAAAGCATTCTATAAAAAGTAATTAAATAGGACTGACATAATGTTGTGCACCAATCACGAAAAATTGTGAGGCATTTTTTGTTTCTAACATACATTTATACAAATCCACTTACAGTATTAATATTTAAATGAAAATTTATAGTAAGTGTACTTTAAATCTTAATTATTTTTATACTTAAACAATTTAAAAATTACACCTGCGGAATTATACTGCAATCTTATGCTGCAAACAGTATTTGAGTAAATTTCTAATCTTTTAGTTTTAATAGGACAACTATCAAAGTATAACAGCATTGAGAATAAAATGTTTGACAAATAAAAAAAAAAATATATTAATTAGAAAATATTTGTATTGAAGTATCACAGACAATTTTTAATACAATAAAGTTTTTATTTTCACATAATTAATCAAATTATAGTATGGTTTAAATATTAATAGATAGTTACACCTTGTGTATCGGGGCCTAGTGTTGGGGGGGTTAAACTTTTATCCATTCTCTGTTCACAAATAACAGCCTCTGCTGTAGTCAAAAGTGACGCAACGCCACTGGCATCAGTGAGTGCTCTTCTGACAACCTTGGTAGGATCTATAATGCCCTTTTCTATCATATTAACGTATTCATTGTTGAGAGCGTCGTAACCAAAATCTTTGTCCATGCTCTCAACCTTCGAAACCACTACGGAACCGTCATAGCCAGCGTTACTTGCGATCGTTAAGCATGGAGTACGCAACGCTTTCTTGACTATATCAATCCCAACTGCCTGGTCTGGGTTGGCAGGTTTAAGTTTGTTTAAAATTGGTATACATCTAACAAGAGCTGCTCCGCCGCCGGGAACGATTCCCTCCGAAACAGCAGCCCTTGTAGCATTAAGGGCATCGTTAACACGATCTTTCTTTTCATTAACTTCCACTTCACTACATCCTCCAATACGTAAAATAGCCACACCGCATTTAAGTCTAGAAATGCGATCCAATAACCTTTGCTTCTCAAACTCGCTTGAAGTTTCTTCGTATTCGGCTCTTATCTGCTCAATGCGTTGATCTATTTCAGCTTTATCACCTTTTCCTCTGATTAATAAAGTGGTGTCTTTCGTTATTAAAACTTCACCGACTTGACCAAGACTTTCAAGCTGACAATCCTCAAGACGAATTAAATTCTCATTATCTTCAAATATTACACCGCCAGTCGCAATAGCTAAATCAATCAGAGTATTTTTTCTATATTCACCAAAACCGGGCGCTTTCACAGCAGCTACTTGTAAACCAATTTTTAACTTATTTACTACTAATACTGAAAGAGGTTCTCCCTCGAAGTCTTCTGCAATAATTATCAATGGCTTTTTTTGGGCATTAGCTATTTCCAAGGCGGGCACAATTTGATTGGCGTTGAATATTTTTTTATCCGAAAAAAGTATCAACGCGTCATTATATTCAACCTTTGGACCTTTACTAGAATTAATAAAATATGGTGATATATAACCCTTCTCCAGTTTCATTCCATCTATTATTTCTAATTCATCTTCGAGGGTTTTACCATCTTTGACAGTTATGACACCATCTTTTCCAACCCTATTCATGGCGGCCGCTATGAGTTTCCCTATACTTCTGTCACCATTGGCTGAAATAGTTGCAACTTGTTCTATTTCGTCAGAGGTTTTAACTGGTTTTGACATCTTTTTCAAATGTTCTGTAACTGTTTCCACAGCCAGCATCACACCTTTTCTAATTTCTATTGGATTTGCCCCTTTTGATATGCATTCAAATCCCTCTCTGGCTATTGCTCTTGCTAGAACAGTAGCAGTCGTAGTTCCATCGCCAGCCTCTTCGTTAGTTTTATGTGCAACATTTTGTACAAGTTTTGCTCCAATATTTTGGAACTTGTCTTTTAGTTCAATGCCTTTAGCAACGGTTACACCATCTTTTGTGATTTTAGGGGGTCCAAATGTTTGTTCTAATATAACGTTACGTCCTTTAGGTCCCATCGTGATAGCAACTGCGTCTGCTAGAATGTCTACGCCTTGAAGCATCAAAGATCTTACATCCGGACCAAAACGAACATCTTTGGCATAATTTCGTTTACAGATACCTAAATATTTTAAATTAAAATTTGTTACTCTCACAATACTTTTATAGCGATACATTTTATCTTAGCCGCTGATAATAATTTATTTGATTTCTTCAATAATTAATAAAACAGTATGTCAATAATGCATTTATTTCGCGTATATTTCAATAACAAATTTCGAACAATTTGTTTTTAAAATTAAGGCCAGATATAAGTTTTTTTATACATATTTACATTTATTTGAATTATTAAAGTCCCTACCTCATAAAAGTATCTTCTATTAAATTTACTTTTAAAATTCGACGAATGTACATAAGTAATTATGTATATATTGAAAGTGCTCATAGCTAATATTAATTGATTACTACTTTTCTACACTAGCAACTTTTGTAAGAGTGGACAGGTCATCAATAATGACGGTTAAAATTTCAAAATTTAAAGACTTCTGACTTGTCTTCTTGACATAATATAAAATATAAATAATTAATTATTAATCACTATAAAATGAATACTAACGTAGATAAATTTATAAAAATTGATTTAAATATAGGTGATCAGTTAACATCGATATCTTGTGGGCATATAGTTGTGGAATTAATAAAATTTCTAGCATATCAAAGACTACAAATTCCGTATACCTATCCATGGTTAAAACAGCTTATAACTAAGAGAAAGGCAATTGAAAATAAAAAGGAAAGTTATCAGTCCGAAAGACATTTTCACATAGCATCCACAGCTTTAGAAAATCTTGATTTTATCATTAAAGTAAGTAAAAATTCGAATTTTTGAATAATTTTTTTTATCAATTATAAAAAGTGCTACTAATAATTATTTTTACATCATTTTTTAACTTCTAGAGCCTATTAAAAGAAATTGATAGTGCCGTATTGCCTGAAGAAATTTGCATTGCATTAGGTGCGACTCCGGTCAGTTGTAAAGAAATATATAGGATCCTTATGCCCCATGCATGCCATAAACCTCAGTGCCATTCCAACAACATTGCAAGTGACCAAAAAATACAGAAAAGTGTATTTAGGTGAGCCAGTTAGCAATATAATTTGATTTATAAGTATGTAATAAATTCAGTTAGTAGTTTGGTTATATATCTCTATTATCTTTTTCAGAAATTTAGTGACATCAGACAAATTGAGCAAAGTATTCTTTGACAGTCTTGCACCTACTAATATGTATGTATTTGTCAAGAAGATCCCTTTAAACAACCAAGATGTTGTATGTAGTGATCAATTTGTGCTTATTAATGGGTATAAAATACCAAAAAGCTGTAAAGTCATTGTATTGGACTTCAGAAGCCATAATCCCGACAATATATCATGTTGCAATAAGTTTGAGGTTTTTGGGGATGTAATCAGCAATAGTATTGGGAATTTAGTACTCGATGATAGTACACAAGAGAATTACTTTAGCGATATTGAATCATCAAATAAAGTTAAATGGTTCCAGTCAAGTTATGTTATGAAAGGATTCAAAGATTCCTTCATCAACGGCTGTTCAGTAACCAATACATGGCTAGATTCATGATTAACAAGGAAGTAGGAAAATTATTAGATTTAAATAAAAATCTGACTAGTTTAATTCTCTACATTAAATACATATTGTTATTTTTTACATGTCCATTTTGACTTATTTGTTGTTTTCATGAATCATTAATGAAGTTAATTTTAAGTTTTACTTCCAATGTTATAACTTTTTAAGTGTGCCATAACATGTTGTTCATTTAGAATTGATAAGAAATTCAGTGATTGTTTTAAAATATACAACAGATATATGTACCATTGTATTTTCTTTTGTCAATATGTCCACTCTCAATTGTAATCTTAATCAATTTTACTATTCAGAGTATTTCATGATCAATAATAGCTTTGCCATCACTAAAAATTGTTCTTTCCCTACTAACAACACATTCTTTTTTCAAATTGTAATCATTTGCTCGGGTACAATTACTCCATTTTTGGCAATTTCTATAGGCCTCATTAAATTCTACAATCAAATTGTTTCTGCCACCATTAGGGCCCACAGTGTAGTCACATACAATAGATTTCTTTATCATATCACGAAGGCAGCATTCGAGTAGTTCATAGTATTCTAACCAGTAGTTTGAGGGTAGTTGTTTTAGTTTAAGACCGAGGCTTTCAGTGAGAAGTCCTGTGACAAAAATATCATCTATCCAGAAGTAAGGATGATAAGTAGCTTCCTGACTTATAATTCTTGCAGTTTCCGGAGTTATTATATAATACCATCCCGATAGATACTGAGGGTAGACACTTCTTGGATACTCCTCATATGTAACAAACCATTTGTTTTCACTGTTTCTTCTTGGCTGAGTGTTGTTTAAGATATATCCTATTAAGGAGTTGCTTTTATTAGTAGATAATGTCTTAATATACTCATATGTTTGATCAAAATTAAATACTGTGTCATCATCAACTTTTAAGATGAAGGATGCTGTACTGCATGTTGTGGATGCCCATTGCAGTCCCATGAGATGTTTGTATGTAAGGTTTCTGTAATTTTCATAGAACTGTCCTTGTAAAATATCACCGAATGTATTGCTCTCGTCATTGATTGCTTCTTGAGTGATATATCTAAAACAAAACAATATTTTAAATATAATTCAATACTATGACAATAATTGGTACTATTTTTTACCATTACCTCTCATTTCCAGGTATTTTTGCTAATAGAAAAACTCTTGTTACATTATGAGCAGCTAAGTATTCTATAGGCATGGACCGTCTGTGAGCACTCCTCAACTCTACATGACCAACATAAGAAGTTACTATTATCACAAACAAGGGATGTCCTGGAATTTAAGAAATATAATTTTATAAATACGACCATATAGATTTTTTGGATCAAGTAACTATTAAATATTATTATTATTTGCATCTGTTATTACAAAATAAATAGTAGACCTATCTGTAATCCTACGACTACTTACGATCGCAAGTTGTATTCAGACGATTTATCAAAGCATGTTTGAAGAGCGTATTTTGTTTTATTAACACTATCGTGTTATTATATTCGAAGTTAGAACTTCTATAGACCCATACTACTAACGATAGCAGTGCTATAAGTATAAATGCAACGACTTTCTTCGTCATTTTTTACAAGAATCAAATCTTTCATTCAGAAATATTTAAATTGCATTGGTTCACATAATTAACAGTATTTGTAAAATATCTATAAATTAATAATACTCTAATTTTTTTCTCTCATTAGTCATTGTAGCTTTTACTCATAATTAATAAATGCATAATTTCAAGTTCTTAAAGCTTTATAAATCCATATGGTATAACTTCCATTACAATTATAAATCTCTAAGGTAATAGTTTTGAAAGTGGAATTACAAGATACAAATCACAATATATATTTTGACATTACAAATTTCAATAATCTTACTGGTGTTGCCTTCATGGGACAGCCTTTATTGTTTGTATAAGGTCCTAGCATAATTTCACTGTTATTTATAAAAGATATATTGACACTTATACTTGTGTTGTAATAAAAATAACACATCTACTGCAGTGTTTCAAACCCATTTTTTTTATTCTTCTTTAGTTACGGGAACAGGCCATGGCAACAACTGTAAATAAATTATATCACTCTATGATCTTATCTTTGTCTATGGTGAAGATGTATTGATCTATATCAATGATGATGATGATGATATGATAATCTTTACCTAAGTTATCAAACTGTCTGGCTGCCTTTATGACATTGTATTTTACCTATAAGATTTAATTATAGCCATAGATTAAGGTATACCTTTGCAAAATAGTTATTTTGAAGATTTTAAATAAATGAAATGGATGAAGTAGATCTTCTCTTATTTTTTAAATAGCGTGTTAACTTCTTTCATGCAATATAAATAAAATTGCATCTGTCTTTAATAATTTTCTATTTTCTTATTTAGCTAAATTCACTTGTTGGAAATGACGAACACAATACCAAAATTAATATTTACTTTACTAAAATAATTTTCTCCTTTTTAGTTCTATTTATCCATAATATCGTGTTTTTATTTTTATTTTAATAGTTTTCTTCTTTTAGTTCCGTTTATTCATGAAAAAATGTTTGTATTTATTTATTTTTTAAACTATTATTTATTAATATTGGAAATTACTGTCAATATAGGTTTATACATAATAGAATAAACAGTAATTGATAAGGTTTACTTTGTATGAAAAGTTATACAGGGTGACTGGTGAATTACTATCAATATTTAAGGAGAATACTCGGTACATGATTCTCATTCGAATTATGTAAAAAAAATAGGTACTTAATTTTTGACCAAATTTCCATATAAATAAATAAAGTGTGGACACGTTCCAAGTGTTCCAAGTGTGGACGCGTGCGGCGGCGTGCTGATACAACACCACGCCGCCACACGCGTGTGTGTGTGTGTGTGTGTGTATACCTAATCTGTAGGGTGTGCACACGATGCGTAATTAATTACATAACTTTTGGTTAACTTTACTTAGAAGTTTATTAATATTTATGTTATATTAATTTTTATTTTGTCATATATGATCGTCAAATATCATCCTCAAGTATCGATAGTAATTCACCAGTCACCCTGTATACACAAAAGAAAAACCTATTGGGTAACCAATTTAGGTATATATTTTTTCTTTATTATTTTTTATTAATCACTTTAACATAATTTTGATTAGATATTGTATAAAAAACCGAGGCTTTCACTTTTATCTTACAAAATAAACTTTTGAAAGAAAATTCACAGCATCTACTTTTTCTATGTTTATAACTACCTTTTCTCTATATACATATAATACGAGATCTTTAGTAATCCAGTATGTTTACTGCAGTTACCACAAAGTTACACAAAGTTGGCTTCTAATTTTTCTAATATAATTTTTGACACAATAGTATCAAAGTAGTTAAGTGAGAACAGAATCAAAAACAGGAACATTTCTTTTAAATAAAACTAATATTTTCGGATTACGTTTTACGTTACGTTTTCGTTACTTTCCAAAAAGCGTGATCAGGGGCAGACATCTCGTCTGTAAGCGTAACCGAAACGTCGGGATTATATAGTTTTTGAATATAATCAAATACTTGAAGTAATAAGTACTCGCGAAAGACTATCTTATTAAGGAACATTTCTGTATTCAGTCTGACCAAGCAAACTGTTTACTAAAGGTTACTACTAAATTCATAAATATTTACTACATCGTACATCAATAGAACTCGTGACTTCAGATTCATTAAACAATGTGAAAAATAAGTGAAACTATCAAGAGTAGTCACGGAGCATAAGATTAGCAAACCATTTTTTCGGATCATCCTTTTCTGACGCTAACTGCTAACTGAAAGTTTGTAACTCTTTCTTAGGGTTCTGGCTTTATTGGAATTATGTAACATTTTTTTACATTCAAGTAGGAAATTTGAGAATAAGTAAATATAAAGAGATCTCGTTTTAGGTGACGCAGATATTTAAATGATAGCTATATCCCAAGCTCTTGGAACTGGTGTAAAGATATATGAAAAGATCAAAGTTAAATTAGGTACTATGTTTAGATTACACTTTACTCTTTAGCTTCAGAAGATAATATTCGAGATATTGTTAACGAGGTTGGCTAATAACAAATAAGGGTGCAGATTATAACATAAAGGTAATAGTCATTTAAAGAAATCACAAAAACCTGTATGAAAAATTCAACATCGATTGAAAAAAATGATATTTTTTGGATTAATCTTGCTTAGCCTATATTCAATAAAATAAATAAGGTTTTGTTTTGTCGTCCAAATAAAGTCTGCTCTGAAATTAGGATTAATAAATATTCATCCAACTTATAATTAGCACCAAAAAGGACGGTTCCAAAACGTATTTAAATATGTTTATATTTATTTTTTAAATAAGCCTTATACTTTCACGTTTATGTGTGAAAAATTATAGGTCATTCATTTTCGGAAATAACTGGAAACATACACGATTGTCCTACTGTGCGTCGCGAGTATGTAGTTTATAGTCTTAATAAAAAACGCGTTGTAAATCCGAAAATATTAGTTTCATTTAGACGTCATAAAGGATGAAGCGGCCTTTAAAAAACAAATCACCACAAACTAAAGAAGCGTAACTAGAAAAAAGAGTTAGATATTCGAAAGGAAAGTGTACGTATGTGTACATAAGTCTCAATAGGAAGTAGAATGCTGCATCTAATATCGAATTTAAAAATTTGGCCGTCCCCTTAAATGCAAGTGCGTTTAAATGAACACTGGGCAATTCATCTACTACTTAAAATAGTTAAACTATGATAATTATTATATAACTCTTATTCCAAATAATAATAATAATATATTCTTCATTGTACTCCCTTAACTTACAAGTATTAGAATTATAGTAGATAATTTTTTATAATTTGTACGATCTTGGAAAAAATGTATCTTTAATAAAATATTCCACATCTAGTTCATAATGAAAAAAAAATGGAATTGACCCAAGCGCCATTAGTTATGAATGATGACGGCAAATTAGGAATTCATCTGAATTTTAAATGAATACAATGTAATTCGCATAAAAAATATTTCTGACTTTAAATTTTAAACGACATTTTTTATGTTACTCAATTTTTCTGATAAGGTTGTTCAAACAAAAAGTTTCTTTATGTAATATAATGATAATGACTGGTTAAGGATTTTATGTTTATACTTTAACTATTTGGAATATGCATTTCCTTTCGTCTTGCTTCCATGTTAATTGAGATGAAAAAACATCGAAACGTTTTTGTATATTTTTAGCATATCATTATTTAATATGATAGATGTAACTATTAGTTCATATTTTCAAATAAAAAATGATCACATTTGCAATTACAAAGTAAAAAACAACTTAAAATAAAAAAAAATCACAAAAAAGTTGAGTTTCATTGTAGTTTTCATTCGAAACAAGTAAAATACACGAACATAATTTGTTCTTTTTTTTAGCATCAATCGTCGTAGATAATGAAGACGGACGTAATTTGGGACGTCACTGTACAACTAGATTTGTTTTAGATCAGACCTGGGAGTGAGACGCAGAGTAAACAGCTACTGTCATCTTTATCATTAACATTATCAACAGGGGTATGGCATCCTCAGTCGGTGACGAGACGAACGTGGAGTCGCGCGCGCACGGCCTCAAGCAAATTATAATGGACACGATAATGAATGCAACTATGGACAACATAGCTATGAACGAGGAACAGGAGAACTCTTTAATGGCGAAAATAATAACAATGGTCACCCTCTTCGCTGTATCGATGATAGTTGGTATAGCACCCATGTTAATATCGGCCAAATTTGGATGGTTCACGAAATCTGATGGGGAAATACGTAGCAACAAACTTGTGGTGGGACTACTGTCTTTTGGTGGAGGGGTCCTTTTTGCGACTACATTCATGCATTTGTTACCAGAAGTTGCAGAAAATATTAAGGAATTACAAGGTAAGAAAAGAATTCATTAAATAGGGTAGTTTGATATAATTACGATATATTTCATCAAATGTATTAACTAGTTTTGTTAGGAGCAGTATATTGTTGTTTCTTATTTAATAAACGTGGTATTATATTTAAGATGTATGAAACCAACGTTGTTACGGCATTTAAAGGTTACGCGTTTGATGGAAATAAATACACGGCTAACCAGTGTCTATCCAATCTCCTGTTGAGATACTTTTTTAATCAATCTTTATGTCATCAAGTATAGGAGTTAAAAAGTAATTTCTATCATTTGATTGTATATTTTTCCCTGATTAGGTAATATTAAACAAAGTATTTGAGTAAAGTACATAATATATTCAATGATAAAACTATTAAGGAGATGTAATGCATATTTATACAAGGCAGGAGCAGTTTATTCTTTAAATAGGTCCAATTTGGTAGCGTGGGTTTAGCGGGGGTTATAAAGACTGTAGGTATAACATATTATGTTTTGTAGATGAGACAGACGTTGGCTCTCAGTATCTACTTCTTCTTCCTGGCAATTTCCCAGCTTTAGCCAGGGTCTGCCTTACATGTAAATAGTTTTGGCTAATTGTCTCGCAGTATATTTATTCATAATTTAATTGATTATTTTGTACAAATTTAAGTACTTAGTAAAAATAATGATTTTCAAGTAGTGTTCTTCTTTTTCGCAGACTTTTTTGAAACGAAAATTTTGTTGGTCATAATATTGCATTAACAATTTTTTAGTTCATGATTTTGTAAAAAGTACAAAATTATTAGTTAGTTAGTCAATTTTATCAATTTAGATAATTATACATAATTTTAGTCAGAGACAAAATAAGTTTATCTGCCTTTTCCGCTATGAGTACGCCACTAACGGAACAAGTATTGAGATTTAGGTAATATTATAGTATTATTTATAACTTTGATTTTTAAATGAGGAATGATTTCAGTCAATTTACAATATACCGTAGCATTGAAAATTCTATTAGTATTAATTAATATGTATTTAGGTAAGACAAATAAATTGCATAATTAAAATTATCATAAAAATAGATTGGTATACTAAAAATTATACTAAACTGATGAGTTCTTTTTAATTTTAAGTATTTTTTCTAAAAGTCTTGCAACACAGCTAAGAGAATATTTTCGTTTCTAAAAAAAAAATATTAAAAATAATTTTGAATGTAGGTTACATACTTAAAAAGTAATGTGTATAAAAAGTTAAAAATTTATGGAAATATATTATTTTATTATTGAATTTAAAATATGTTATCTTTGGATGAGTTTCCATTGCTTTGTTATTGTCTAATTGAACTCTATTACAATAAACAAAGAGAAACACGTTCAGTGTAAGATTATAAGTCAGACTAATGTCCTTTAATCTTTAGATACTTTTACGAAACAAAATGGACGTGTTTTTTTTAATAAAATATATATTATATAAATAAAACTGATATTTTCGGATATACTATTTTTTTTATATTTTCCTCTCGTATTAATACAATAAATACTATTTCCTTTTCAATAGAAAAAAATATATAAAAAGAAAAAAAAATTGACATCACCGTGTGCTACTAAATATGTTAATTAAATTCCTTAGAAAAATGTATAGAAATGAAAGTTATAAAGAAGACATACATACATGATGAGATCTAAGATTTTTGCGAGTATTCATTTTATTTTTCATATTTTTTTCCCGTGTTCACGGTTACTGCCAAGTAACCGAAACTTCGGGAGCATGTAGTTTAAAATAACAAGTAGTAAATCCGAAAATATTAGTTTGATTTAAAACAATACACATAGACCACAAAAATTAGTCAGTTATTTTATGGTACTTGAGTTAGTTGGTACTTGGTATTACACCTAATATTTTCGTTCACATAAGAATAGGTAAGAACTCAAAACGTAATTTTTACTGTTTATGCAGTCGCAATATATGAAAAAGATTCAGGAGGTATTATTAATTACTAGAAGGTATTATTTTACAATATTGAAGAATTAAAATCTGCGTTTGATTGATATTTAATTCCACGAAACTGCTACTGAATAGTTAAAATTAACATTAATGAGGTCAACGTTTCTTATTCAAGCCTGAATTGATACCAATGAATTCAATTAAAAAAAGTAGGTTTTCGAACGAAAGACGCTAACATACTAAGGACGTACAAGAGTACTTTAGATTTGATCGTTACTTTGTTTATATCTTCAATATATTTTGTTTTAAGATGACATTCGTAGTTTAAGGAGTAATTTAAAAGATAATATACGTGTCAGATCTTATATATTATATAGAGTTAGACAAGTTGCTACTCACACGGATTTGTATGCAATTATCTTAATTAATTGCTGAGTTTATAGAAATCAAGAAAGTAGATAGTCATACGGACTGATAAAAAGAAGTAGTCTGAATGTTGACGTCATCATCGATTTATTTTAAGCCCCTTATATATAATTTTAGATACAATCAGAAACAGATTATAATTAGAATTTTATTATACTTATTGATTTATCATACATAGCCTTTGATCATTGTCAATCATCCTCAATTGCTAACCGTTTCCGTAGAAACGAGTAGTTTAAGTAGAGAATCTTAGCGGAATTATTTTAGATTATTACTATTGGCAAAATAATTATGACCTACTATAAATCTATTTGGGTGAATGTCGTTCTTTATTTTTAATTCGACACGGCATACAACGGCTACAAGAAACGAGAGTCATATATGAGTATTTTTATGAAACTACCTTGTAAATTAATCTTTTTTAAGTAACAATAATCGTGTTATAGCAAGCAGATTAGGAATAGTAAAAACAAATCAATAACAAGAAAGATAACTATATACAGGGTGACTGGTGAATTACTATCGATATTTGAGGACGTGGTAGTTGACGATCATATATGACAAAATAAAAATTAATATAACATAAATATTAATAAACTTCTAAGTAAAGTTAACCAAAAGTTATGTAATTAATTACGCATCGTGTGAACACCCTACAGATTAGGTATACACACACACTCACACATACGCAGCGGGGGCGTGGTTTTGTATCAGCACGCCGCCGTACGCGTCCACACTAGGAACACTTGGAACGTGTCAACACTTTATTTATTTATACGGAAATTTTGTCAAAAATTAAGTACCTATTTTTTTTACATAATTCGAATGAGAATCATGTACCGAGTATGCTCCTTAAATATTAATAGTAATTCACCAGTCACCCTGTATACTTATAAGCACAATTTTGTTTTCTTTTATCCGATCAATTGCAGGTTTGTACTAAATTTGCGTTACAAGATATATGTATTTAACAAACTTAAATATCGTTCTAAGATCTCCAATATCTCACTATTCCTACAAAGTGACAAAAAATTCGGTTGTGTTTAACATTTCAAAGTAACGTATTTATATATTAGCAATGACCACGACTCTCAATACGTTTACATCAACAAAGAAAAACAGTTATACAAATGAAAAATGAAATTATAGCCTTTAACTCTGAAATGTATTAGTTATTTAGCCAGTGTTTAGCCAGTGGCCGGGTTGCGAACCGTGGAGGCTATTCGCCCGCTCCTCATGGAGTGGGTGGACCGCCGACACGGATCCTTGACCTTCCGGCTGGTGCAGATCCTCTCGGGGCACGGTTGCTTCGGGAGGTATTTGTGCCATATAGTCGGGAGAGAGCCGACAGCGACGTGTCACCACTGCAGTCGCGTGGAAGACACCGCTGACCACACACTGATGGAATGTCCAGCGTGGATATCCGAGCGGAGCCAACTCATCCGCGTGGTTGGCGCAGACCTTTCGTTGCCGGCAGTGGTCCAGGCCATGGTCGGCAGCGAGAGGGCATGGCAGGCGGTGGCCGACTTCAGCGAGAGAGTCATCTTGCAGAAGGAGGCTGCTGAACGAGTGAGGGAAGACGACCCCTCCTCGGCGCCGCTGCGCCGACGAAGGCTGGGTCGAAGGCAGCGGGCTTATGCTCGCGACCTGCCTCCCCAGTGAGGAAGCCTCCGGGCGTCGGTGGGGAACCGGCGTCCGGGTAACATAGGCTAGAGGAAGAGCGGCGTGTTTGGCGTTCCCGGCACGCTGCTCTTGAGTCGGAGGGGTGGTGTGGTCAGCCACTGATACCCCTGCCGATGGCGGAGTCCCTTTCGGGACTCGTGCGTAGTGAGCGGAAGTATGGCTTGCCGTTCCCGCTCACTAGTCTACGCACAGCGCAGAGAACGTCGAGGTGGTTTAGTGGGTGGAAATCCCACATGCCCCTGTCGCGTTTCCCCCGCGGCAGGAAGTCTTTAAAAGATTCCCCTCGTAGAAAAAAAAAAAAAAAAAAAAAAAAAAAAAACCCTGTATATGCCTACTAAGAAAAGTGCTGTCTTGAATAATATTTATTAATTAATATTAACATAAAGTTACTTATATACTAATATAACATTTTTTTTTAAAGAAAATAACAGATTTTATGTTATTTATTCCTCAGAAACCGGTGTTATACCAGAGATACCTTTGTATCTCGCGTCGCTTGTCATGTGCTGTGGGTTCTTCATGATGTATTTAGTTGAAGAGCTTGTCCATGGGTACATAAACAGCCACCAGAACAAAGATGCTAACACCAGTTTCACGCGCGTCTTGAGCATACGAAGAAAGAGCAATGAGGTAGTGGAAACCAATGAACCAGTTACGAAAAACGTAGAGGCTAATTATGGTGATAGGCATTTACCTCTGAGTGGTGATGATACGACTGTAACAGCTTTAAGAGGACTGCTGATTGTGCTAGCTTTGTCTATACACGAGCTGTTTGAAGGATTAGCTGTTGGTCTGGAGTCATCTGTGAGGAATGTTTGGTAGGTATTCGATAACTACTTACTACTATATACTTACCTACAACTACAAATATACGTACATACTGCAAATATATACATCTAGATAAAACCGAAAAAATCGATTCTAAAGTCGTGTCTTGTTAAGATGAAAAAGACAAATTATATTGATGTTAAGAAATGTAGTAAAAATATTTGTGTAATAGTTAAATTATTCTCCATAGATAAGCAACACAACAAGCTTACATTTTTTACTGTATTGGAATAAACTCAGCTTGTAAAATTATACATATTAGTTAATAAAATGACATATCATTTCAATTACCATGGCCATCTTAGACAGACAGAAAAATTGCATTTGTCAGTGAAGACGTTGTTTTCTGATTTCAATCAACACTTTTAAAGATTATTATGAGATCGATTTTCGATTATAATTTTGAAGAAGTATAGAATTATCTTCATGCTCGATTGACGAATAATAGCGTGATAAAAATCACGTATGCCTATAAACAAATGTATTAATTACTTTCAAAATAATTAATAATATAAATTATTATTGTTATCTAATTTTGATTTATTTCGTACAAATAATTACTCAAAAACCCCTTTTTTGTAATATCTTACTCATCTTTTAAATCCGATAAGTTGATTATTATCGTATTTTGTCTGGAGTTTTAAAATGATTATAAAATATTTTTTTACGACGTAAACAATTTTTGCATTCACTTAATAATATTTAAAGTACATACGTACGTATAAAAATATCTTTTAAAATTATTTTGTATTAAAAGTCTATAAGAAATTTTATTCCGTTCTATAAAACTATTGTTTTTCATACATATAGTTTTCGATGTTTCTATTTATAGATTTCTCGGTCTTTGTCATTCATGTACTGAGCGAATTAAACTTTGATTCCTATATTATTAGATAAAAGATAAATGATAAGCATAGTAAAGCGATGTCATTGTTCTTGAGGATTTTATTTTAATTTCTATTAGGCGTGTTTTGTTTACACACTAATCTTGCTCGTCAAGGTCAATGCCCTTAAATGGATGAGTGAAATACTAACATTCGTTTTTACATTTAAAATCTTTTTCCTGATTTAATTCTATTATCAAATAATTTAAGACAATGCTTCGATAGTTTTGATAAGTCAATAAAATAGATTTTTAATATATCTGTAAGTTTATCTGATTCTTTTGTACTTAAGTTAATCAATACAAAAAATATTGCTCTTTTAAATGCTAGTTTTTTTTTTCAGGTATATGTTTGGTGCGGTTTCAGCGCACAAATACATCATCGCGTTCTGTATTGGAGTCGAGTTATTGGCGGCTGGCACCAAGAGATGGTTGTCAATTGTGTACGTTTTTACATTTTCCTTCGTATCAGCTCTGGGGATTGCAGTTGGGATTCTACTGGTAGGTGGCGCTGGAGCGACTGCTGCCGGAATATCATCTGTTGTGCTTCAGGTAAATTCTAGTTTTTGTTTTGAAAGGAATTAAATAGATTTTACTATGTACTGTTCATTTTAAAATTAGTATAATTTAAAGCTTTTGTTATATGAATATTACAAATTCTACCAGTTTAGTCTTGAGAGAGGAAAATATTTAATCCATTACAACAATTAATATTTAAAATTAACGTCTAATCGAAATGTTGGACCTTTTCGTTTAATCCTATAATTTTCGTAATTCTCCTCTTGTGATATTTAATGGAATTTCCAATAATCATAAGTAATTTTTATAGATTATGGGCTTTTTTGTTGGAAGGATTTTTTTAAGATTTTTAAAGCAAAAGGGAAAGATTAGATATTGTTCTTTGGGTACATATTTCTTGATAATGGATAGTTAGACTTTATATAGGTACATTTAGAAAGGTGACCAAACTACATACATATTAGTAATTTCTTTATTATTAATATTAATTGTAATTCCAGGGTCTGGCTTGCGGTACTTTAATGTACGTAGTGTTCTTTGAAGTGTGGCGTCAAGACAGAACCGGCCTCCTTCAGTTTGTGTGTTCAGTGATCGGATTCGCTGTCATGGTGGGACTGCAGACGATTGCGGAATTATGTTTGTATTTTATTTATATTAATATAGGTATAGTAAAGAGTATGAAAATATATTATTACTAGCTTTCCGACCGCAGATTCGCCCGCGTGGAGTTCGGTTATATCGCGTTTCCAAGAAAACCTTTCAAAAGTCTGGGATAAAAACTATCCTATGTTCTTTCTCAAAGTCAACTCTATATTTGTACCAAATTTCATTAAAATCAGTTCAGTGGTTTAGGAGTGAAAGCGTAACAGACAGACAGACAGACAGAGTTTCTTTCGCATTTATAATATTAGTAGGGATGAAAGCATAGTTACAATCAGTCGTTGATTTGTTCGTTTTGGTCAATTCAGTTAATTTAGTTCCATTCCGTTTAAATTTTGTCAATTCTCCGAAGAAGAAATCTATTTAAGCCAGACGTTCGTTAGTTAGTTCAATAAGATTTATCGATTGTTTTCAAGTAATAATATTTTATCAAAGAATGGCATATTTTAATTTACATATTTACTTTGTGTGAGGAGGGCTTGTCTTGAGATAAGGATAATTTTTGTTTAAACGACGATACAAAATAAAAAATATTTCCTAACTATTTTTATATAATCTGTAGAATGTACATATTTTTTTTACTAACAGAAGATTAGAAGAGCAGATTTTAATTGAATTTCAACCTAATCTTATTTCTTAACAATTGATGACTGTATTCTTGAGCCCGTCATATTATTTAGGCCCAGTTCTTGAATTAATCTTTGTGAGATGAAGATAAAATTCGTAAAAACTCACTTAGCTGTTATCAATTGATAAATTGTTTTATTTATATTCATATAGTGAATTTCTTGATTAAATAGTTATGTTGTCTTTTCACCGTTTCTTAATTTTATCGTGAATTTTTGTTGATAAAGACCGTTAGTCTTAGGAAATCTTTAGATACAGATTCATTAACAATTACATAAAAACATATATTGTTTTTGTTTTTATATATAGTGATGTTTGAATTTAGTAAGTTACATAGAGATATTGCGATGGTTAATTAGAATTTAAAGGGACCATCTTCAGTAGGGCAAAAGTTGGTGCGATTATAAACGATGGCTGGAGATTTTACTATCATCAAAGTTCTTAAAGTTTTAATCGATATGCTTTTTTGTTGCGAAGAATGATATATTTTTTAAAGTGGTTTTTGTCTATAGAGTTATTTATATGTCCATGTAGTAGTATTTTTTATGTCCATTAAAATCTCTTCAATATACAAAAAGTATTAAAAAAATATTTTTATTTGTGTAAAAATTATTAACACTAAATTGAATGTTACACTTATGGAAAGTAGAAGTATCAGTCGTAATAAAAATGAATTAAAATATTAATATGTACTTTTAATGCAAAACTAACCATTTCGGATAAATATTTTTTTCCGACGTTTTTGATTACTAAGTATACAGTAACCGTACTTAACTTTATCTTCCGTCAACAACTCCCTAATTAATAAAGTGACATCCCACATTTAAATCCCAAAACCAAGGTTTTGTTTTAAATGTATACTCGTGAAAGTCTTAAATATCTTTTTTTTGTTTCAGTAATCTGACAGCATTCCGAAGGACGGGGTAAAAAGAAAGTTTCGACAAGAGAAGAGAGCGGTAGATAGACTTAAAGTGATTAATGTTTAAGTTACCTAATAATAATTTATTGTATACCTCAATGTTGTATTGTTAATAAAAAAATGAAAATGAACATTGTATTTCCTTTTTAAACACCACTTTCCTAGTTTTCATACATATATCTGAAACAACGAAGCTTAACTATCAATAAAATTTAGCCGAAACTTAAAAACATCTTTTCTTAATGAAGTCATTTAAAAATATACTATATAAAAATATAAAAATATACTATATATAATATACGTATATGTATATATGATTGGTTCCGTTTACTCTTCGTACGCTATACAAAGTTATTTATACAACAAAAGAATGAATTTACATTAAGACATTATATATTTATATAAATAAAAATAAGTATATATCAATTTACAAAAAAATAAACAGACAATTTTTACATTAAGCTTAATGATTATGAAATATAGTAGTCAATAAAAGCGTTAGGTATACCTATGTAATTATTTACTCCTATAAAGATTCTTATTATTAAGAACTTTTTTATATTTGCAATCTAATAATGTAGACAAACTAATGCTATATTTTTTAAGGAATAGTCAGCCCTACGTTTTTGACAGCGTTAATGAAAGTGTTGGCGATTCCTAAAATCAAACGTCGTGTAAAAATCCTATTGTAGCTTGTACTTTTGATTGGGTAATTTGTTAACTTTGCATAGGAATTTTTTATAAGGTCTGAATAGATATGATAATCATATTTTTCTACTACTTTCATAACCGCATTTAGCCTCATCATTTGGCCATCAAAATTGGGGCTCCTCAGGGGTGTATCCTCTCCACTACACTATTTTTGTTGCATAATTATTATCTGGTTTTACCGGGTGTTTTTGGTTATGCAGATGACAGCACACTATGAACCCAGTCCTGAGGCTAGTCGAAATCAGTTAGAGTTAGAAAAAGAGGGTATGGTAGATCATGGTAATTTCACAAATCATTCAACCTCCGAATGTGGTGGTGCCAATCTTCTGAAATAACCACCAAAACGTTACAGATAAAAAAGCGTGTTTTTTTCGCAAAGAGCACTCCGTTCACCTTGATATTGAATTGTCAGAGTGTATCCTTGGAACACCCTGAACGCCTTCAGTTATTAAGTATTGAGTATTTTAGAAACTTATCTTTGGGAGGTTCATTGAATTGAAACTCGGAGTTCTTTCAAAAATGCTTCACATCGGGACTGCTTGTTTATACAAAGCACAGGTTCGGTCGTATGTGGAATAAGTTTAAATTACTGCTGTTACGTTCGAGCAAGCGCTGATAAATGCCACCTCACTTCCTTAGATTTAGTGAAGAGACGTGCTAAAAGGCTTATTTGTAACCATAACTTGGTTAAATCCAATCTGATTAGCCTAAAGCACAGGCGAAAAGTAGCCAGCCTCTCTGTATTCTACAAGATACACTAGAGAGTGCGCACAGAAATTACACAATTGAATTCCCACATCATCTTTCTAACATCGTACAGCCAGATTCATGGTGGGCCAGTGGCGGCTTAAGGCGTGGGCGACGTAGGCCACTGCCTACGGACTCGCGGTACAAGGGGCCTCGCGCCTCAAAAATTTATAAGCGAGAATTTAAAAAAAATATCTTCTTCTTCTTCTTCCTGGCAATTTCCCAGCTATAGCCAGGATCTGCCTTACATGTTGTGATTAGTTTTGGCTATTTATTTTTACGACTGGACTCCTGCCTGACACCAACCCTCTTTGGGAATCAGAATTAATGAAACCTATTTTGATAAGAATAGTGTGTTCAATGTTTTAATAATATTTAGCGAATAAATAGATAGTGTTTAAGTAGATTGATTGCCCCCGAAAACAGTGACGTTTTTAATTGTTTTTGTTTTTTTTGTGATTTTTAATACACCAGTACCTGTACTCGTCTATTTTACATAAAGTAACAAATATTTAATTGGTGATAATTGAAACCAAAGCTTTAAGTGTAAAAAAAAGCATCGAAGTTTAAGTTTTTAAAACTAGCTGGTAGTAAAAGCTTCAGGTTTCCATAGAATAGGGCCTCGCGAAATGTCTTGCCCACATCAAATTTAGGTCTTGCCCCGGCACTGTGGTGGGCCTCCATCATTTCGTTGTATACCTTCCTGGCATCCGATACGCTTTCTTATGCAGATATCAAGGTATTATAATAGTTTGCCAGCGACTGTGTTTCCTTCGGATTATAATTTGGGTGTCTTCAAAAAAGGACGCATTATAGCAAGCTACAACTTCATTTCTATCTTCCATCGGCTGGAATCATAGACATGCACTAACCAGTCGAAATTAAAATTAAAAAAATCAAAGGTGTTGTCTTAAATTAAAAGTTGACGTATAATTGTCAACTTTGATCCTGGAGTCTTCGGATAGACTGTAAACACTATACATTCTAGAATTGTTGATACATATAAACACGCTGCCTACTAGAACCCACAGATAATAATCAAAAAGTTCGGGAGATCTTTTTTTTAAACAATTCTGTTTCTATGAAAAATAATGTTAGGATTATAGTGACGTAGTGTTACTATGCGTCGTCATTTTCATTTAAACTTGGAACTTTAACACTGCTTCGTCTTAATTTTACCTAAACAGAGATTTATAATATTTCCTTTATGGCGACAGACGACTTATTTTGTTTTTCAAAAATCAATAAAATATTTAGATTTCCTATCATTCCAAGCATTAGGATAAAAACACTAGAAAATACTACAGTTTGCATACATCTTTTTTAATTTACATCATTGCATCATGCATGACTTAAAATTGATTTTCAGTTAGTTGAAATCTTTCTTTTACATATGCAATGGCTTCATGAGATTAGATCTTTTAAGTTCTTGACTATTTTAAATTGACATAGGAAAGTTTATTTTAGTTTCATTTCAATGAATACTCGCGCCAGTCTTAGTAGTGCCATAACTAGGGTGGTGCCAGCAGTGCAAAGGCACAGGGCGCAGAAGAGACCAGACTAGTATCTAGTTTTATGTCATGCATGGCAGCTATATACTTATATACTTTGTTAAACAATAAATAGATAGATTTAGTTGTATTCACATTTGTCCATTTTATTTTCAGAGCCTGGTTAGAGCATTTTTCAGGGGCGCAATTTTGAAAGCTCGCACCGGGTGCATAAAAGGCTAGTTACAGCACTGAGTCTTATATATCATTATTGACATAGGAAAATTTCTCCTGTGTGTTTGAGCACGGATAAAACTGACAGATTTTAATTGACATTAAATCTAATCAGATGAAACGATTACTTTATTGTTGAATGTGTCAGATTATTTGTTAGAAGTGCTTCAACTAATCTATGTGGGATGAAGATAAACTGCATATGTAAAAACGCACGTAGCTTCTTATCGATAGATAAATCGTCGTATTTGTGAATCTGCAAATTGATCTTGAGGTAATCTGAGTTCATAAATAAATAGCTCTTTATCGTAATGGTCGTTACTTGATTTTTTTTATCTTTATCAAGATGATCTCGTTGCGAAACTTTGATATAAGAACAAGACAAGGAATTTAAAATATATAGGTACATACATTTATGTCTACAAATTATTACATTTTGTTCCTTTTGAATTTCATATTTATAAACTATTGTTTTTCAAAAGCTTTGTAAAAGTTAGTGTTGTATTTGCTTAATTAAACTTAAGAAAATTGTAGGCTATGAATGAGAATTATTATAATAAAACTAATTATACAAATTTATATTTTTGTATTTCATGAGATTGAATTGAAATATACGTAGAGGATCGGTTTCATTATTTCAAAGGATTACCAATAGTAGAGAATGTGTAATTAACTTGTTGAAAAATCTATACACGTCGCAAATATTTAAAATAACATTGGAGTATGTATGTTATTTAAGCTATATAATAAATTTATACTTTATGATTATGTAAATAAAACATGGATCTAGAGTATCTCTTACAAAAGATTATAACTGTGTTACATTTGATGAGAGAGAAGTAGAAAAAAATCTGCTTTAAGAAAAATATATCGCTTTCTATATTCTTATTTTAGCTTTCCGCCCGCATGGAGTTTGGTTATATCGCGTTTCCAAGAGAACCTTTCAAAAGTCTAAGATAAAAACTATCTTACGTTCTTTCTCAAGGGCAACTCTATCTCTGTACCAAATTTCATTAAAATCAGTTCAGTGGTTCAGGCGTGAAAGCGCAACAGACAGACAGACAGAGCTACTTTCGCATTTATAATATTAGTAGGGATTATTCTTTCTAAAAAATAATCAACAAAAAGGTTTAAATCATGTATCCTCTTTTCATTTATTTGATGTGCCACAGTAAATAATGATTTTTATGCTGTGGTCACGGTTTAATAATTTTTACTAAAATAAAACTAAGATTCGTGAATTAAAATTATAATTTATATATATCGGCGCTTATCAGCTTTAATAACGGATGAAAATAATTTGCGCCTGTCATCAATTATTATTAAAACTCATTAGTATTAATGATTATTATTAAAAGTAAAATGTAATCAAAGATTGTTTAAAAGGAGAATAAAACTATGTTTGAATCTTGGTATAAGTGCGGACAATTGAATAATGTGATTATGAAGAACCTTCTAGAAATACAGGATCATTAAGAACAATTGAAGTTTCATTTTAATATATCATGGAACTTACTGAAAGAAATGACATTAGTGACGTCGGCGATGATGGCGTCACTCTCTTTAAAAACAATGAATTTGTAATAAATTCGATATATATATATTTAAGTATTACTTTTTCCAAGTGACGTAGGTTAAAGAGAAAGTGATATATTTATCCTTCTTTAAAATGAGTACCAATATGATACATTGTAGACGTCGAGAAATCATTGTACGTCTCATTGATTTAATGGGTCTAATTAAAAAAATAGGTATATGAAATAATACAACATGTTAAGGTAATTTAACAAATCGATAA